TCGGTAAGATTCAGGTGCCTGTGGCGATTTGTTTGCCTTTTGGATGGGTATGATTATGGCTTGTCTCCATATATCTGGGAATACTTGTTCATTCCATATAATATTGTATATGTCTAAAAGATTATTTTTAGCTGAAGGTGTGAGATTTTTGAGGAAGATTGTTGGTATGCCATCTGGTCCTGGTGATGTATCTTTTAAATCAAGAAGAGCTTCTTCCATTTCTTGTTTAGTGATTGGTGTATTTATTGGACTAGAGGTGTCTTTATTTGTAGCAATTACCGTTTCAGAGTGTCTTTTCTGGTTAAGGAATTGCGTGTTGAGATTCTCATCACTGGAGTTTCTAAAATAGGTCCTCGATAGAAAATTCGCAATATCATTGCTTTGAGTGTAAATTTGAGACCCTTCTTTCAGTAACTCAATATTTGTGTGTGATTTGGCTCCAGACATGCTCTTTATCTTTTTCCATACTGTGGATACGTTAGTAGAAGTACTTATACTGGTCACGAATTTTCTCCATGATAACTTTTGTTCCGTTTTTATTATTGACCGTGCTTTAGCTCGCTTATGTTTGAATTCAGACAAGTTTTCAGTTGTTTTATGTCTTCGCATCTTGTTTAGTGCTTGTTTGCTTTCGCGTATAGCCTTTCCACAATTTTCGTTCCACCAGGGAACTGGATTCTTATTATGTAAAATTTTCGTTTTACCCATGCATTGATTTGCAGCTTCCTTAATAACTTCCATGAATGATTCAAGAGTTGAGTTGATGTTGCTGGAAACTTTGACTCTCTCTATATTAGTATCAATGTGGTGAGAGAAAGAGTTCCAGTCAGCCTTTTTTTCAATTGGCGGAGTACTGGTGACTTCCTTATTTGTGTCTCTTATTATTATGGGAAAGTGGTCGCTTCCATATAAGTCATCAGCAACATTCCACTGTAATTGTGTTACTAAAATTGGTGAACATATGCTAAGGTTGATTGCAGAAAAACGCCCTGATGCAGAATCTAATCTAGTGCTGCTGCCATCGTTTAAATCTATCATATTCGCATAATCCATTGCATTTTTTATCATATTACCTCGAGTATCATTTTTATATGAATTCCATGTGTGGCTGTGTGCATTGAAGTCGCCAAGTACTATTTTAGGTGATGGTATTTGTTGAAGTAATGATTCAACTTCATTACTTTCGAGGTGATAATTTGGGGGTATGTATATGGAACATATTTTGATTGGTTCCGTTGATTCAACGGTAATGGCTATAGCGTCTAAGTTTGCAGTTAAAACTATTGGTTTGGTAGGTATTTCAGACTGTATGTATATTGCCACTCCTCCACTGGCTGTAGGTGTATCACGGTTCTTAAAAACTCCTTTGTAGCCTTTTGGTGTGTGTGTTTTTGTTTGTTACAAGTGGTGGCGTTTGGTTGTCAATGAATAATTTAACTGATTCGAAATTGTTGTTTTAGGTTTCTTTGTACTTATGCTTTTTGGTGTAGCGAATGTAGGATATCCAGTATTTGGAGGTGTAGGTTCAAGTTCAGTTGTCGGCGATAATATTTCTGAAAGGCTACGTTTGTTACTTGTTTGTGTGTTTGAGCTTGTGTTGATTTTATTAGATTCTGTCTCGATCTGGTTTGGGCTGTCTTCGGAGGTCGAGGCTCTTGTTATAGGTGTAGAGAAGCTGGTGACATTAGGTTGTGGGTTTGGTGTATCTGCTGTTGATTGCTGGCTGTGGTTAAGGTTTGTTTGCTGGGATACAGGTGTGTCTGATTGTGTGGATGGACACTGAGATGCGATATGTCCTGTGAGTTTACGTTTAAAGCATTTTTGAATATCTGATGATAGAAATATGCGATAAGACAAGTCTTCGTGGGTGACTTCTAAGGACTGTGGGATGAGGTTGTGCTCATCAGGTGTTATATACGCCTGACGTCTAAAACTCAAGATATGGCTGTATTCCGGTAATGCTGAAAGGTGATGGGTGAGAGAGTTTAACTCCTATTTGCTCAAGTCGATCCTTTAGAACTTTATGTGGAATGGTAGGACATACGTTAGACATCACTAATCTATCAGAGGGAGTAATAAGTCTGCGAGCTTTTATTGGTTCTCCATTAATGATGATTTCACCAGGATTCCCTAGGAAATGGTCTACAATTTGTTTACTTGATAGGTAAATTCATATTCTGTTATTTGATATTCTAGAGCAGAATAAGATGTTTTTTGGTTTCAATATAGGGTCTAGTTTCAATAAGTATATATATAAGTCTTGCATCTTTAATCCATCAATAGCACTGAAAATGATGGCTTGCTCTTTATTTGGATATTTTACTGAGTTTTTATTGAAAATTTGAGAGTATGATTGAACTGAAGTATTGTTTTCTGGTGTAGTTGGGTGGTCCATATCGGATCTATCAGTTGAAGTCATCTGGTGGAATGAGTTGCTGTAACATATCTCGATACGGTCCTGTCCGCAGAAATGTGTTTATTTTGGAACGATGTTTGCTCGCGGAAAAAGGAATTTCTGTTTGCTGAGATTTGTAAACTGTATCCATCGAAGAAACAAAGTAAAATCAAATATATACACCCGTATTGCACGTGATCAAGAACTTAACCGTAGGAGACGCTACAGGGCCGTATCAAGCTATTGTGACTGATCTATCAAAAAATGTCGTACACGATATGTGTTGCTGTAAATTCTATCAAAAGCATAGTAAATTATCAGGAATATACCACGCAATAATTGCGTTATCATCAAGTGTCGGCAAATTTTTTTTGAACCAATTTTCAAACGAGTTACCATCCATTTCTTCGTGATAGTCTCCAGTTTTTTTGGATTCAAATGCCCACAATGCTTCAGGAACAAATCCATCTACGCTACCTATGTGGCAAATGATCAGGCGTTTTCCCTTGCCTGAAAGTAATTAGTTATTTTACTTCTCAGCGAGCGCACTAAATGACGAAATTAAGCAACTTACTCTTTTTAGGTTAGTGTAGGATAGGGTCTTAGATTAGTTTTTGGGTGAATGAAATACTCAGAAACTTGGATGAGATAGCAAAACTGAGTTCGGAGCTTCCAAATCATTGATTCGATCAGAAAATGAATTATCTGCATCCAAAAAAGTTCATATACTTCGAAACTTACCTGCAGGATTTTTCAATCCCGTCGAAAGGCCATCTAAAAAAGCCTGCCTTGAGGACCTCACAGATCTGTCTACCCAAACCTTTCCCTGCGTATGCCCCGCGTTCACCCATGTTTCGTCTAAATAATAAATTTTTCTTCCTTCAGCGCGGAATTGCCTAATTTTTCTAAGGTATTCTCTCCTCCAGATAACAATTTCCTCCTTTTCTATCAATAAACTATTCCTTCCTCTTTTCAAAAATCGAAAGTCTAGTTCTTTCAACAGCTTATGGAACGTAGATCTTTTAAAATTTGGCAGGTCCTCATCATCATTCACTTGCTTCAATATTTTATCTATTGTAGGTATTTCATTCCTGAAGAAAAAGTGATGTACTTTTCTTCTAATGGCACTTCTGTCAAAGTCATCTATTTTTTCGATGATTTTTTTTCTCGCTGGATATGTTTTTGGCTCAGATAGTGAGTGATTTTGTCTATATTCCTTCAAGATTTTGTAAACACTTGATCGACCTACTCCAGAAATTTCAGCAACCTTACATACGATATTTTCTATAGCCAATTCACTATTCTCTTGCATCTGGTTCTTGTAGATATTTAGAATAATTTGTTTTTCACCTGCGCTAAGATGAAGCTTTTTAGCCCTTTTTCTGGGTGGCGTTAAGCTGATTTCAACCACTTCATCAGCTGTATGTGTGTCAGACATTTTAGACTAATATTAAATTTCCGCAAGAAAAATCAAGTCAAGACGTGCATAAAACGTTCGCGCTCATAAACGGGTATCCGTAACTGATTACAATCCTGTGCGTGGTGACGAACCATCAACGTGACGCAGCGTTGCCAGGCTTAATGTCACAATGATCATGTTTTATTGGGAAAATTGTCAGAAATCGCCGAATGTTGAGCAGAAACATTAACCTTGAAATGTGAGGCTACAAATCGATATTCTTATAGGGGGGAAGGTTAGGGAGCTGTTATGGTTCCTATTAACCTTGGTGAAAGTTGGAAACGGTAATATCATATATGGCATACATTCGGTTTAAGGTGTGTGCACGGAAAATAGATTGCGGATAGGATTTTAATAGATAAATCTGCACAAAAAAACACAAAAGGAGATTTTTGTATTTCCCTGAAGAATATCTCAAGGTTATTTCAGATGTACTCATCGAAACTTTATGGAAGGATTATCGAAACCTTATTTTCAATTGCGATAGGGCCACATACCTCGACATCGCATTAATGTGAAAACTAAGACAATAGAAAAAATTCCCTCACTGATGCTATCTCTTAGGAAAAATTTAACTATAAAGATTGCACAAAAATTTTCTTCACCTTTTTGAGCTTGTTTTCGCATCTCCGTATATGCCGTTCATAATTTGCTGCAGATCAAATTGGAATATACCTTTGTGATGCCATTTATTGTTATATAATGTCCTTTACAACAGTTATTGCACGTATTGCACCAACAGATTGATTTGTGATCCATGCGAATGTGATCAACCACTCTGGCGAAAACTCGCCGAGCGTGGCAACCGTGCGACTTTGTCTGGAGGCTCGTCGCTATAAGCCAATCAGGAAGAGGCCGACAGAGCGCCATGGCTACCGATCACGCGTTGATCACGAATCAACCACTGTTTACGATTACTTTGTAGCTTCGTTAGATACACTTTAGATTGCTGGATACAATTACAAAATATTACTCACAGCGTATGTTGATACTGGTGTTTATAGGTATATCGATGATGCACTTGTGTTAAAACAATTTGAATTTCACTACTTATGAATGATTTAAGTCAGAGCTCGGTTCACTGGCTGCTCTAGAACGAGATATAGGTAGAAATAAATACACCGTTTTGTTTTTACATATTTATATATTTATTTCTTCTTTAATATGACTACAGTATAATATAAAAGTCCTTCCATGCATTTACAGTTTTTGTTATTAGGGTCTAGGTATTTATTAGTGTTAATATTTTTTCTATCAAGGTACTATCAATGTAAAAATATATACAAAAGTGGTCAATTTTCTAAAGCTGTAGTGAATTTCTGCATTGTGACAATCGAACTGGTATTTTTAAGTACAGGAATAAAATAAATTATATTTACTGTAGGTTGCTTGAAGATAGCGATAATATAAGGTACGTAGCTGGTCTGGATATAGCTCAAAATATACTATAAAGATCTGACAAAAAATATAAAATATTATCGAATAAATTACAATAACGTTTAAATTATATACATTGACATAAAGTGAATAAAAAATTATTACATATAAGTTATATGCTTTTTTAAAATATCAACTTAAAGCTAAATGGTATATACCTGGCACGTGGTGTAATATTGACTTAAAACAGCCAAACATGCATTTTAAATGCAAACATGACTAAATTCTACAAGCCGGCGTTTGCTGGATCGAACGATTCATCTGAAGCTACCGAAATGTCTGCTATGATGCCACTCTCTGTAACAAAATGTCAGAGTATGAATAATATATGAATTATTATAACTAGCATATGAATAGAAGAAATAGTCTGTCAGTGATATTAAAAGATTCAGCCAGCACGAATTGTAAAGTCACTCATCCTTATTAGATATGGAGCTGGAACTGGCTAACATCCGATCTAGCATGCTCAAAAAGGTATGGTCTTCTTATCTCACAACATTTATTTCTATGGCATGAAACTTCGAAATACTTATAGTTTTGGAAATGCTTATTGTGTTGCGTGGTTACAGGTTTCCAGATAATTGTAAACTAGGTGAATTGAGGATCATGTAGGAAATAGGCCTTTTCAGTAAAAGTGCTGACAAAAATCAACTAGGAGCTGAGCAAACATTCGCCTCACAAATACACTGAAATCTACTGAAACCTGTATTTGAGTCTCCTAATTCCAAAAACCGCTAAATCCACTTTAGGATCTTGCCCAGAAAACGTAAAAGGCCATAAAATAAGCGAATTAAGGTTCTTAGTGGATTGTAATATATAATGTTTGTGATTTTGCTCACAGGAAAATCTGACTTCGATAGTTTCTTTAAAAACTACGAAACTAAGGAGGTTTTGCTTCACAATTTAGAAGTGCTTAGAATATTCTCATTCTGACGGTATTAGCATGAAAGCAAACAATGAAATAAGCGTACTGATTCTTCATTATTTACTATAATACTAAAAAAAAAATACTGAGCGATATTTGCTTCCTGAAGGTGACATATTCCACATAGATCTTCCACTTGATTTTCTCGACAATGGCTCTCGTCTCCCACTACCTTCTCGAATTTTGTGACAGTATATTCGTCCACATTTTTCAACTGTTCATGTTTATATCTTCATTATTTAATTCTATTTGATATTATACATTATAGCTTTGGCAGGTTTGCACCAAACCACATTTCAATAAAGTCTTCCCTGACTGGTTAAACTGACCGTCAATTTTAATAAGTGTCTAAAAGCGCACCATATGATATAACTGTTGCACTGAGTGGATTTTGTTTCTCAGGTATGTAAATATGTAAATACTTTGGATTTAGGGGGCTTTGTTAACAAACGGGGCTTTTGGACGTCACTCACTTATGGAATTAGCGGATTTTGAAACAAACCCGAAAATATAGAAAGATTTTGAAGTTTATGTAGCTGGTTTCGAAACGTATCTTAGGATCTGGAACATTATTTAGACATTTTGGTTGAAAAATGGATTTAGGCTACTTTGATACCAGTCAACTCATTTGCATGGAATTACTTTAAGGTCACTGTGAATGTTTCCATTATAGAACAGCTCAGCAATCCAATGTAAAGCCTTAATCCAGAACAAATACTATTAGTACATCGCATCCACTAGTATCCGGTATAGGTACTTACACCTCATACCAAATAAGACCATCACCAAAAGGACCATTTCGCTCAAAGCCAATAAATATTGAATCAGTATCAACATACACCAAATATGGGTTCTGAGGACTATTTATGTTTTTTCGTTTGTTTAAGTAAAACTGCAAAGATAGTATTCAGTATCGCGATTGATATGTTATCAACTTGCAATACTTTAGTATCAGTAAGCAGCATCTGACGATGAGGTCAGTCGCTTAGATTAGTCGCCATTTATATGTGCATCTGACATACACCGTACTTCGTTTTTTATTATATATTAACCAGTTAGACTCACAGTAAGTAGTATATGCAGGTATAAATATTAATATAAATAAGCTATAACACTATAAATAAAATATATAACAATAAATAAAAATCCATATAAACATAACAATACATATAAATGTTCAAATACACTCAAGTTTGCACATTCCATAATACTCTGTTATGTTATAAACGAGGTTTGACGTGAATAATTTTTTAACTCGATGTTAAATGAAAAATAATTACTATATTTTTGCTGGTAATTTAATGTATAATTTGATGTAGTTATAGTTGGGCAATTGAAGTCTGATAAAGGACTTTAAAATTTTTATTTCTAGTATTATAATTATGATGAGCATTAATATTTGGGAACCTGCTATTATATCTAAGAATTTTACGTCACTTACAAATTTCTCTGCAGGCGTCGAGTGGATTGATTCTGAAAATTAATCTTACGATTCTTTTTTTGACTACTTTTATACTATGTATCAATTTCAAAAGATTTTCCCCATACCATGATGTTATAGGACATGTCGCATAATATTCATAAGAGCTTTTCCATTCAGAACATATCTTAATTGTGAAATAGCAAAATATGTTTCATTTAACTTTTAACAGACGTTCATGAAAATTTGGCTTACAGTCAAAACATGTGCCAAACAACAACAAAAATTCAATAAAAAAAAGGCCATGCATATTCTGGTTTAGGTCAATTATACGTTGGATGTCTTATTACAATTTAAAATTAATGGATATATTTGACATCAGGCAGACAACACATCACATACGCTTTGAAGGTAAAGGTGACTGACACCTTTAGCAGATATAGTTGAGACCTGCAAACGTAGTTTTATGTCCCTCAGAGGTAAGAGGAGTATGACTGGGCAAATCACGTACAAATTGAAGAGCAGCGGTCTCCGTACTGAACCCTTTGTCGCTATTTTAAACACCTAAACTGATAAATTGTATATTATTTTGAAAAGCATCAAATTTTCTGTTTAGATTGGTGTGACCATTTTAGATTTACAGCTACATGTATGGCACTTCCTCGCATGGACGCCATGATGTCACCAGCAAAAGTAGCCAAATTAACATATTGAAATAATATGGCATCACACTAATTTGCCGGACAATAGGCGACGCACAGTGAGGCAGAATCCTAAAAAGCTGGCGAAAAATCAAATTTTTGAGTTGTATATATTCGTCTATACACGTTTAGATCTTGTTTACGGATATGCCTAGAATGAAATTCCGGACAGGGTCGCCTTGACATCAGTCGACCTTCAGCCGTCGTTCGGTACGCACTAAGCATGTGTACACGTCAAAAAATTCTGACCTGTTACGACGAGCTGTAAAACAGACAAATCTATCTCAATTTGAATTGTAAATGTGGTATGAGGTGGTATGAGTATGTGGTATGATGTAAATGAAGGTATGCAGAATATATAGTTATGCACAGCTGTTGCTTATTTTATGTTTGAAATATTTAAATTTTACACCGAATAAACATAAACAATTGTACATTTTTTTTCTAAAGTAGTTTTAAAAATGTCTTCGCAAGTCTCGATCTTGCTTCGACAAGGAAGTGATAGTGTATAGTATGAAATATAATATAGTAAAAATCTGGCTGCCCAGGAGTGCTCAACGAATAGTTAGACTAATTTAATTAATGGACATGTGACTGTAATGCATTGATTATTACCGATCGGACAACTTTCTGACGAGGCCCAAGAGTTACGCAATGAGGACATTAAGAAATACAGATTAAATAATGCAAGAAAATGCTCTAGAGAATCGAATTTGAGAGATATCTTCAATAGGCTCTTAGTAACATCAGATCTTAAGCACCAGGAAATTGTCTTTACATAAAGAAGCTCTACAATTGTTAAAACAACCTGAAGTCACCAGACAAGAGACAAGGAACGATTCCAATTTAGATACAAGTGGGTCAACAGCAGAATCCGAATCGAATGACTCGAACATTGAAGATGACGTACAAGATTTTTGTTACTAGAAGTAAATAGCACATATTCATTTTGCTGCAAATTTTTTATAAAAGAAATTTTTGATAAATAAATAACATTGCTCGAAAGATTTTTTACTCATTAAAACCTAAAAATATTATAAAATATTTTCTATTTAAAAATATTAAGAAATTAAAAATTTTTGCTGAATCCTCCATATATCGCGTCTGCTATTTTGAAAATTAACATTTTGATAACCAATTCGTAATCAGCGATTCCCAAAACCACAAACAAATACAATTGGGTATTTTTACTGGATTATTTGAATAATTGGTTAAATTATGTCCGCCATTTTGGGTTCGCCATTTTGAAAATCGTAATTCTGATAACAGATTCATATTCAGCGACCCCAGACACCTCCGAGAAGAGAATTTGAGATCATTCACGACACTTTCTGAATTTTGACCAGCTTTTTGGGATACTGCCCCACTGTGAGACGCCACCAAAGTGTGGGCATGCCAGTGGTCTGCCATATATTTCAGTAGGTTAATTTATTTACAGGTGCTGGCGCCACCACCATAACCTGCCTATGAGTGATTTTTCTAAAAAACAGTATAGAGTTCTTGTTCCACCATAGTGATGTTATAGGAATGGCAGAAGACAGTAACTTATTACAGCTGTTAAGTGTTATATTGAATGGATCGAAATGTTAGATATGTCATTAGCACATACGAATGGCGATTGACAGAATGCTGCTTACCAAAATAAAAGTTCTACGAGTATCACAATGGATAGAAGGTGTCATCTTGGCAATACTGGTGCTGGTAGATTTTGACAGTCTTTCAGTAGTACCAATCTCAATTGTACTGAAATTTCAAGGAAGTTAATAATTCAGAGGATTGGCGAAGTGTTTTTCACTTCTATTTTTTTTTTGATTTGGTAATGGCACATTGAGCAAGACAAGACTGATCAATGAAACGTTTTTCTATGGTCATTTAAGTCTGTACTCTCACTTAACTATCAATGATAAGTGGCTTAATTATTGGTCACTGTGGAAGTCCTGGAGAGAAATAAGAAGAGAAGTTAAAGTTACGGATACCCACCTACTGAACATTGGCTATTCAAGGTTGCAGACTTGTGATACGGCTTAGGACTATCGCAAGTTGACTCATAACTGCCATGACCGATGGAGCCGCCTTGACCTGTCGGCGTGCCTGCTGACCCTCCAGAACTGGTGCTACTTGACGAAACGCTCGACATAGATATCACTGAATGGGGGCGTTTGACGTTCCGACACGCTTCTGTCACCGGGCCCACTATGGAGTTACGGAACCTCGGAACAGCTGAAAAAGTATCCGGTTAATAATTATTATGCTGTCAGTATTGGCTGGCCCTATGAACGTCATCCGATGTCCATCTGTCTATCAAGGTTGAACTGAATCTGTTTGTGATCATGGTCAATGGCATACATTGTTATTTAATCGTTTTCAGCAATCATTACAGGTTTAATCTTGGAGAGAGGCTAACGGGAAGCAAACAAGCGGTTATAGCCTTTTTAAAAGCTCAGTGTATTGTGCGCAAAGTCAAGTGGTTCGCCAAAGCTTGATACATCTTCAGCCCATACGCTGAAAATGACAGCAATGACTGAAAGGCCTATAACTGATAGAGGTACGAGGTGTCGCCTACAATCATTAAAAGGATGACCTGTCAATCAGCCAAAATTCAAAATAGATCATTTTGGTCCCTACTTACAGCCTTCTCTCAATAGAGACGTGAGTGTTATGCATACCACATGACTTTTGACTCACATGGTAACACATAAACTTATAGGTAAAAGAAAGTAATAGATGCCGCACCCAGTACAAGCGAAAAATAAATTGTGCTAAGTGATGATTCTTTCTTATTTATGACAGATAAACATCGGTGGTAGAATATGGGACAGCCATAACAGTATGAGTGATAGAATTATTACAACCCAAAATCCGAAAGAGTTGTGGTGTGGCAGGTACTTCTGATGAACCTACACAAGAAAAATAGAATTTACGCTTCATGTACACCCAATAATAATATTACTAACTTACTTCGACTTAGTTGAGCAAAGCTTATTGACCTATCGCTGATTTGGTTATCGCTGGGTCTGATGTCTAGACAAGGTTTGTTTCCAATTCCCATGGAAGACATCTCTGCCATACGTACAGCTGAAAAGAGAATACTCATTATTTATGACTTCATTTATCCTGAATATTTTATCTACTACAGACGATTGTTAGGTAACAGTCAGAATCAAGGACAGTCAAGGTTAAACTGAGAAATGAGGTGTCCAATGGCCACTGCGCTGGTTGAACGATTTGATTCCAACATGTTGTTTATCAGTTGTTGTAGTCGCTGCATTTTAGGAGTTGACCATAATGGTGTATTAAGTATGAATTGGTTCGTCTCTATGAGGTCATTTTAAGGTCATTTGGTGTGCATTCCAGGGCAAATTACTACTACTACTCACCTCTATTTTTTATAGCTTGCTTCCATAGCAGTTGTGATAGTTCTTCCGTCCAAATCTTTTTCACGTCCTCTGTCATAGACTGCAAGGTGAACGTGTCATTAGGCTTACGTTTTCTGAACCAAATCTCGAATTTTGTGGGGCTTTCACCGATTTTCGCCGTTAAACCAATGTCCGTCATCTTGATACTGTTCTTGTAAATGTAGAGGTCCAAGTTCTGAAAGAGGTATGAATATGCTTTACTTCAAGAAGATCATACAGGTCGTGACATGCGTCACGCAAATCACGGTTCCTTTACGATAAATTTGGGCTATATGTTGTATTTTCTAAAACAGGTTCTTAATCTAATCTGATCCTTTAGCTACTACTGTATGCATTGTAGATTTTAGGTACTTAGTAATAAAAAATCCAAAGGTAGAAAACTGATGGGATGAGTTATACTAACCTTTCTATCAGGAAACCTTCGTGCTTTACTGAATAGTATCAACTCTTCGAATAGGAAAACTTGTCTAAGTGACCTCTTCCCACTTTTTCCTTCCCAAACCAAGAATTCGTTTTGCCTTAAGAGGCGACCCTGTTCTTTCAAATTTACCTAGAAATAAAACATTCGTCAATACCATTTAAAATCTAATTGGAAATTATGTTTTGGTGTCATGATTTTTTAATTTAAGAATAAATAAATTTAAGTTATATTCAAACTTACATCACATTCCCTAATCGAATCCATGGCCAGCAAATCATTGCCATGTCTCAACTGAAACTTCACCATCTCTTCGGCTAGTTTGAGGTCCTCAATTTCTTGAATAGACCTTTCAGATGAGTTCAGGAGCGTTTCGGGACAAGCTTTCATCATTTGCTGCAATAATAGAGCGTATTTTCCCATTCTTTGTACTGGTTTCAATAGGTAACTGGCCAGATCCATCTTATCGCCCAACTCCAATTGTTTACTCTGAGAATAAAATATAGAAAAGTATTAAAAATGATTAACGAACGATGCCATGTCAGATCCCGTTGGTCTTGGACGTTTGACGTAACATTTTCTGGCAAAGCAGGTTCATGGTCATCTAGAGAAGATTTTTATCTTTCATATAATCGAAAACCCACATTTGTGAAAAATCGTGGATGTACATACTAAGGTGATTGGGCGAACTGGTGAAAAAAATGTATCATCCTTTATCCTCGTTTCTTCCTATAATTAGGAGTACGTATTAAAAATATGTATATACTTAATTGAGGAGCAACATGCCTATGGCAAACGTGGTTTTCTGCTAACTGGTGAATTTTTATATGTTATGCGTCTTCGCGTCCTTAGCATAATTAGGGTAAACTGGCAGAATCAAAGGATATACGTTATCCTTGTTCTTGATTCTGCCTAATCGTAATCCTGAGAGAAAATAGTAGTTTACATTTTAAAGGACTTCCTTGTCACAT